ACCAGGGACCTCCTAGTTGATACTCGCTGCACTAGCCACCCTACTGAGTCCAGAGTTAAACTTGTGTGCACAACAGAAACTTCTTCTCTCTCTTCTTCTGACGTCTTTTTATTTTTTTCTATTACTATTTCCGTTTTTCTTTTTTATTCGCAACCTTTTTTTGGTTTTTATTCCTTTTTATTTTTTTCTTCATGCTAATTGAATGAACCTTTTGTTTCAAATTGTTGAACTTTTTTTAAAAATTGATGAACTTTTTTCAAATTGAACAAACTTTTTCAAAATTGAATGAACTTTTTTCAAAAACGATAAAAAAATTAACTTCCACGAAAAAATTTCAAATTTGATTTGCTCTTTTCTCAAATTCAATGAACTTTTTTCAAACAACTGTACTTTTTTTCAAAAAGGTAAAATTTTATCAAATTTGATGGAAAAAATTCAAATCAATGAACCTTTCTCAAATTTTATGAACTTTTTCAAATTGACGACTTTTTTTAAAATCGGCGAACTTTTTTCAAATCATATGATTTTTTTTAAATCCGTGAAGTTTTTACAAATTCGATGAACTTTTATCAAATAGATGAACTTTTTTTAAGAGATGACCTTTTCTAAAAGAGATGGTCAACACGGTCAACTAAACTGATCAACATGGTCAACTGAATCTATCAACCGAGTTTTTTTTTTGTTGAGCGATGAAACAAAGCGATCGAAGGAATGCACCGATCGAGCGACTCGTGAGCGCCACCAGGCAAAAATGATGCATATGGCGCCAACGAGGAGGACTCTATCACGAGTGCGCGCATTATTCCTTTCTGTATGTTTTTCTGTGTGGGTTTTTTGATTTCCGTTCTCCGTTTGTGGTCTTTTCTCTTTAGTTTTTTCTCACATATAATTTTTCTTCTGATTTATTTTCGATTTTTCCATTTTAAATTTACTTTTATTTCCAGTTTGATTTTTCATAACCAAAAAACATCATAAAATAATTAGAATTTAAAAAATTAATCAAAACTTAAGATTGATTCACTTTTTCAAAACAAAATCAGTATTCCAAAAAATCATAATTTAAAAACAACCATGTTTCTCAAAAATTGTTTAATTCTCAAAAAATTCGAAATTTAAAATTTTCTTCTTACAATGTATTTTCGTAATTTTGAAAGTTTGTTCTACACTGTCAACAAATTTCAAAAAAAATGAACAAATTATGGAAAACTCGAACCAAAATTAGTAATTCCAAAAAAAAAAATCAGAATTCCAAAAAAATTCAAGTTTCTAAAAAAATTCATTGATTTTCAAATATTTTCATAATTGAAAAACAATCATTTTTCCAAAAATTGTTCAATTGTTATAAAAAATTGTAATTTGTTCTTAAAATGTCTTTTCGTAGTTTTGAATGTTTTTTCTACAATGTCAACAAATTTCAAAAAAATGGAAAAAGAATTTGGAAAACCTGGACCAAAATTTGTAATTCCAAACAATTTATACTATTTGCGGTCTCATATATATCACCACTAAGTGCTAGTTGATTACATGCATCCACTCAACAATTTTCTAAAAAATATTCTTGTATTATCTTTAAAAATACACGTCAATTGATTGATTCAAGAATTCACCAACTGAAGTATGGGGCAAAGTCGGCGCTCATCCGTATCTTATGCCTTGTGATTTGAATTAATACAAATGAATTCCTCGCTGCAATCTACTGAAATGTTCATTGTCTAGTCCATGTCATCACGTGATCAGCTGATCTAAGGCTATAGTAGCCAGAAATTGTTTTTCCCCAAAAAAGATAGTATCCAGAATTTGTTTATCCTTTATTGTAGACAACAGAAATTGTTTATCTTCGGCAACAATCTACATGAGCTGCCTATTTTCGGCTTCAGGATCCGTGAACTCCTCACCTTCGAGTAATTGGGGATCTCAGAAATCTATGGTATCAATGAGTTCATCTCTCCACTCGGAATAGCTAGCCATGGCTCATCGTCTGGGAAGCTTCGGCTACGTCATCTGGGAAGACCAGCGCGTAAGATATAGCCATAGCTCATCTCATCTTCGGCTACTTCATCTGTGTACTGACTGCTCGGTCGACTCCCATCTGACAAAGCTGAAGCACTCCATAAGGTCACGTCGGCAGGTCGGGCAGGTGGATGCGACGGCCTCCTCGTCCCTGCTATCCACGTCCGACAAGCAGATGGCGCACGGCTTGCTAGACTCACGGCGGCGCTTTCGGCCCGGCGCCAGAGCTCTTGCAGCCTCGGTCTTTGCGGCGTGCAACCTCTTTGCACGCCAGGAGCAGCGCCTTGGGCTCGCTCTAGAGCAAGGTCATTTTATTAATTATTCATAAAAGATCTTACAAAGTAATACAGCAGCAAGATTAAAGCCATCGTTTAGGTAACATCTGTCGCTACTCCTATTCAGTTGATGAAGGATGTTCATAGTCTGAGCCAAATACCAAATAGACCTCGCAGCAAAACCTAACATCTAAGACTTGAGGCACCAACAAAGCCACATGTCGGGTATGGGGCACCCACCGGTTCGACGCGCACTCAAAGGCCACCGCCACCAATTGTCATCAATCCATCTTCAAAGTTGTACTGACGCATCAACCTTGCCCGACCAGTCTAGCTGCCGTCGACACCACCACAATGCCAAACAACGCCGCTATTCTGCTAAAATTTGGTGGCATTGTTCCTTTGGTAAAGAGGCATCAACTCCTAAGACTGAAACCCTAAAAAATCGACCAAACAATGCACAATAAATAAAGAGGACTTAACTGGTGTGTGTTTTGCTGAAGTCCTAAAAAACTCACACGGTGCATAATAAGGTGATTTTTTGTAAATTGCTTAGTCGTAATCCAACCGCAAGGTGTGATCTTCTTTCTTCCAGCATCCTCCTCGTCTTCTTCCTCGCGAGCACCCTACTCCCATTCTTGCCTCACCTTCTGCGTGTAATACGATGCATTGGTTGTCCATGGTCATTAATTGTGCCAACATGGCGTTGGGTGGGCCCCACTTGTGAGCGAATAGTTTAATGAGTAGTATAGTTGCTTGCGTAGCACTAGGTGGGTCCCACCTATTTTTTAGGGGAAAACGTTGTCACTTTATTCAAAGTTCATAGCTCCTTTGGTAGCAATCTCTGAGCTAACACACTCAGGAGATACTTGGAGCCAAGTTTTACATAGAGATCTAATACAACCTTCCCTAGCTAAGACATGGTCCTACCAATTTGACAAGAGTGCAAATCATATTGGAAGGAAATAACTGCGCACGGGGTTTCGAACCAATGACCTGGTGGTAAGCCACGATTGCGCGTAACAAACCCGCCACCTTTTATATTATATAGACAAAAAAATTACGCATACGTGTTGCACATGATTTTCCGTAAAGCATAAACATTTTTGTTTCCTACAAGTACATCAACATTTTCGTAAAGCATGAAAACATTTATATAGTAAATGAATATTTAGTTTAAAATATGAACATTTATTTAAATATATAAAAATAAAATTATATTAATATTTCTAAAATACTATGAACATTCATTAAATATGCTCCACATTTCAATATTGTATAAACATATTTCTAATTTATAAATATTATTTAATTATATGAATATTTTTAGGAATTATATGAACAAGTTTTTAAAAAAATATATTTATTTATTTGTGTGTGTGTGTTATTTATAACACGCCAATATGAATATTATAAATTTGCCAAAAAACACTAAATGGAAAAAATAGATCATACTGAGTGCAGCCCATTTATGCCCTATTATGCCAGTGCTTGGCTCATGGACTAGCTATTAGTCCCGTTAGGCGTACGAGAGGCGAACTAGCTATGGCACGTGGCCCATGTGGTTGGCACCAATGTGAAAGTTTTTGATTTTTTTTTTGGATATTACTTTTTGGAAGATGGTAGTGAGATTTTCCCCTTTGTCTTTTTGAGAATTTTTTATAAGCTTTTTCTTTTTCTTTTTTAGATGGATGTCATGTTCACGTGATACAAGAAAGTTTTTCCATATGGACATGAAGGTCAGGTTTTTTTCTTTAAGATGGAAAAACGCATACATAGCTTTCGATCAAGTGGCTCGTAATAGCAGGCCCTAACCACTAGTAGACATCAAAGGGTGTGGGCTAGAGTTGTTACTCCTGGGGCAGGTAGGCTTGAGGTTGCTCATTCCAAACCCAAAGGACGTGACATGATTCTTCATTTCGATTTTCTCTTTGTACCATTCACTGATAGGTGGGACCCAACGATCGTAAAGATGCATATTATGTAAGCCGTTGCAAGTGTACCTGGCGCCTTGTTGGCACGCTCACACGCATGCGAACAGAAATACAATGCTATGGAAGCGCAATTAAAGTTTGAATGACGAAGGCATTATTGCACATGAAAGTTAAGTCCATGCGCCATTTTTCTGTATACCACAACTGTAGACACCAAAATGATCATACATGCCAATTTGAAACACCAGTAGTGCATTAATTCTTGTTATTTCTTTTCTAGATGAGAATTAACAAATCTGTTTATTTTAACAAGAATTTGTTCAGCAATACGTAATGTACAAGATACAAAATTGATGACACGTACCAATTTTTTTCATCTTTACCAGTTTTGCATCAGACAATCCACATATAGTTACAGTAAGAGTTTGTTTAGGGCAAATCTAGATATGCCTTTGTTTTTCTTTTTGAACTGTAGATGTGCCTTTGTTATTACACATTTAAGTGACTCAATCAAACTAGATGGTCCTAACGTAAAATCAGTGACAAAGAATTTAGATGTACGATATTTAGAGCACATATAGATGTGCTTTGGTAAACTGAGCGTTGGTCAAAGTTTTTTTTGGGGGGATCGTTGGTCCAAGTTGTTGTAACGGCTAAATATTTTTTTACATTGTGAGCGACTTTGATTGACCTGTGTTAAGAAAATAATTTGTTTACATGGAAAGTTTTGGGTCATAACTCACCACACACGCAACAATTTTCGGTACGTACAATTTTGGTCTTATTTCTTGTGCATTGACTTGGCATGGAGCACGAAGCGGTCCTTCATGGCCGCGTAGTAGGCGACCATCTCGTCCCTGCTCGGCAAGCACTTCATCACGGCCTCGTCGGAGGCGTACTCCCCGCGCCACCGGCACAAGGCAGGGTAATCCTCCTCGCGGATCATGCTAGTTTCCACGCCGGCGACCTCCTCCAGCACGGGGAGCCAGGCGAGCCCGCTGGCGGCGATGTCGAGCAGCCCTATGGAGTCGCCTCCGAAGAAGCGCCTCCCCTCCAGCTGCGCCTCCATGAGCGCCAGGTTCTTCTTGGCCTCCTCCACGAACCCCCTCCGCGTCTCGCCCTCCGGCGTCCACAGCGCCTTGAACAGCGTCCTCGAGCACTTGTCGGAGGCGAACTGCGCCCAGAAGCGGGAGGCGGCGCGGGCGAGCGGGTCGGCCGGCAGGAGCGGCGGGCCCTCGAAGGCCTCGTCGACGTACCATGGTTTTCAATTTCAGTTTCAGAAAAATTTCAGCACCAATCGAAATCACTGAAATTCAGTGAATTTCAGTGATTTCAGTTTTCATTTCAGTCAAATGACCGAAATATTCACTTGAATTCAATTAAAAAATTTAAAAATATTAAAAAATATTTTGAAAAATATTGGAATTGTAGTGCTATAGTGAAATTGCTGAAATATTTTGGCCGAAACGTAATATTTCTACTGAAATTCAGTGAATTTCACCGAAATCTCACTGAAAGTGAAAACCATGCGACGTACTCGACGATGACGAGCGACTCGGCGACGACGCGGATGTCGTCGTCGTCGTCGCCGTGGAGGAGCAGGGGCACCTTCTTGTGCACGGGGTTGTGCCGGAGCAGCAGCTCGCTTTTGCTGCGGAGGTCCTCCTGGATGAACTCGTAAGGCACCCCCTTCAGCCTGAGTGCCGCCTCGGCACGGTGCGTGAACGGGCTCCCGAAGGAGCCCAGCAGCCTCACCGGCACCGGCTCGCTCATCTTTGCTTCTCTCGTTTGTGTGGCGAGCTCACAACTCACAAGCAACACGGCTGAAATTATGGCAGGTGTGGTGTCTACCAGATGAGGGCACAATATATGTTGAGTTTCTGGCTTGTCGAACACTCAATTTTCTACTGACAAGACCAAGTCGACAGTCAACTTTGGTAGCATGCGGAATTACTCCCTCAGGTTCTTTTTACCTTTTATATTAGGTTTGTCCGAAGTCAATTTCATTCAACTTTGATCAAGTTTATATAAAAAATTATAGACATTCACATAACAACACCAATATTATTAGATTCATCTTGAAATATATTTTCATATTATATTTATTAGATAATATAGATGCTAATAATTTTTAATATAAATTTGGTTAAACTTAATAAAGTTTGACTTTCGGCAAAACCAATGTGCAGAGTAAAAAGGACTGGAGGGAGTACATTACGTTGGGCACTTGGTGGCGATGGGATCATGATTCATGGGGCAGGTACTCTATTTTATTCATTCATGCGTTGAAGACGAGAGTTTGCTGAAGTTTGCAGTGATGGAGATGCTGATGCCAAAGGTAATGTCTCTGGTTCTCGTTGTCTTGCTCAAGTCTGTTTACCCACTGCCTGCATGTCTTGGACTCTTGGTTTGTAGTGTAAACGCTCTCTGACGTGACGTCTCAATTCCTTGTCGATCCATATAGCCTAAGCATCAATAGTCATGACCAAAGTTCTAAGGGGCGTGCTATGAAGACCGGCCGGGTCGCGAGCCGCCAAATCTGGCGTCATCGAGCGGCTGAGCGTTGCCTTCCCATGTTGTAACAGAGGTCATATTGTTGTAAAACTCATGTTGCAGAAACCTTTTCTTTTTATTGCACCAGAGCTTGTGGCGTGAAGGAGACGTCCCGGCAGTTGTAGGAGGTTGTGGTGGTGGCGGCCATGGCTGGCCACGGTCGAGGCGGGCGGAGGTGTTGGATCGCTTGGCTGAGCACGACGGAGACAGGAGGTGAGGGAGTCCTGAATTAAGGGGTCTTCGGACAGCCGGACTATATCCTTCGGCCGGACTGTTGGACTATGAAGATACGAGATTGAAGACTTCGTCTCGTGTTCGGATGGAATTCTACTTGGCGTGGAAGTCAAGCTAGGCAATACGGATACATATATCTCCTTCTTTGTAACCGACCTTGTGTAACCCTAGCCCCCTCTGTTGTCTATATAAACCGGAAGGTTTTAGTCCGTAGGACAACATACAATCATACCATAGGCTAGCTTCTAGGGTTTTGCCTCTCCTATCTCGTGGTAGATCAACTCTTGTACTACTCATATTATCAAGAATAATCAAGCAGGACGTAGGGTTTTACCTCCATCAAGAGGGCCCGAACCTGGGTAAAACATCGTGTCCCCTGCCTCCTGTTACCATCCGCCTTAGACGCACAGTTCGGGGCCTCCTAGCCAAGATCCGCCGGTTTTGACACCGACATTGGTGCTTTCATTGAGAGTTCCTCTGTGTCGTCATCATTAGGCTTGATGGCTCCTTCAATCATCGATATCGATGCAGTCCAGGGTGAGACTTTTCTCCCCGGACAGATCTTTGTATTCGGCGGCTTCGCACTACGGGCCAACTCGCTTGGCCATCTGGAGCAGATCGAGAGTTACGCCCCTGGACACCAGGTCAGGTTTGGAAGTTTAAACTACACGGCCGATATCCGCAAAGACTTGATCTTCGACGGATTCGAGCCCCTGCCTAGTGCGCCACACGGTCACGATGAGCATGATTTAGCTCTGCCATCAGACAGTGTTCAGGAGATCGCGTCGGCAACCGCTCCGACCCTCAATTCGGAGCTAGTTGCGCCATCCATGGACGGGTGGGTAGACCCCGCCATGAAGGTCGTATCCTCAGCGGCTATCGAGCCGAGTATCGACCTTACCCTTCACGAGAGCCGTGATGCCAAGCTGCTGGATCCTTCCCCGGCCACGGACTCCGAACCGCCTGCTCCCGTGCCTATTGAATCCGACTGGGCGCCGATCATGGAGTTTACCTCCGCGGATATTTTTCAGCACTCGCCCTTCGGCGACATACTGAACTCATTAAGGTCTCTCTCATTGTCAGGAGAGTCCTGTCCGAACTATGTCCGGCAGGATTGGGATGCGGATGACGAAGAAATTCGCCGCCCAGCCACCACCCACTTAGTAGCCACTGTCGACGATTTGACCAACATGCTCGACTTCGACTCCGAAGACATCGACAGCATGGACGACGATGCAGGAGGTGAACAAGAACCACTGCCCACAGGGCACTGGACAGCCACCTCGTCACATGACATATATATGGTGGACACACCCAAAGAAGGCAATGGCGACGAGACAGCGAAGGATGACCCCTCCAAGAAGCAACCCAAGCGCCGACGTCAGCGGCGCCGCTCTAAGTCTCGCCAAAGCAAAAGCGATGACACCGACATGGGAGATAATAGCACTCCGGACAATGCCGAACACGACAACAATCCCCTCCAGCAAGATTTAGGGCAGGAGGATGGAGAAGCCAGCCCTCCCGAGTGAGCGGCAGATGGAGAGGCGGAGGATGATAATTACATGCCTCCCTCCGAAGACGAGGCAAGCCTCGACGATGATGAATTCGTCGTGCCTGAGGATCCCGTCGAATAAGAGCGCTTCAAGCGCCGGCTTATAGCCACGGCAAATAGGCTTAAGAAAAAGCAGCAGCAGATTCAAGCTGATCAAGATTTGCTACCTGACAGATGGACTGAAGTCCTTGCGGCCGAGGAATATAAACTCGAACGCCCCTCCAAGAGTTGCCCAAAGCGCAGGTTGCTACCCCGAGTGGAGGAGGAAGCATCAAAACCTACATCTCCAGAGTATGACGTGGCTGATCGGCCACCTCGTGGCCGCGACAAAAAGGCATTCCAGTCAAAAGCTCTGCCCGCACCCCGACGCCACTCAAATAAAAATCTCAAGGCATGGGGAAATACGCCAGACCTGCGAGACGTATTGGAGGACAAAGCAAAACACGCAAGATCAATCTATGGATCACGAGGGCGCGCCACTATGCGAGACGATAACTGTCACGCCGGATACAGTAAAAGTAAATCCGGACGGGCCGAACACAGCGGACAAGACTCATTTGAGCTGCGTCGCGATATAGCCCAGTACAGAGGCGCTTCACACCCCCTATGCTTCAGAGATGAAGTAATGGATCACCAAATCCCAGAGGGTTTCAAACCCGTAAATATCGAATCATACGACGGCACAACAGATCCTGCGGTATGGATCAAGGACTTCCTCCTCCACATCCACATGGCCCGCGGTGACGATCTACACGCCATCAAATACCTCCCACTCAAACTCAAAGGACCAGCTCGGCATTGGCTCAACAGCCTGCCAGCAGAATCCATTGGCTGTTGGAAAGATCTGGAAGCCGCATTCCTCGACAACTTCCAGGGCACTTATGTGCGACCACCAGATGCCGATGACTTGAGCCACATAATTCAGTAGCCAGAGGAATCGGCCAGGCAATTCTAGACACGGTTCCTGACAAAGAAAAATCAAATCGTCGACTGTCCGGATGCAGAGGCCCTAACAGCTTTTAAGCACAACACCCGCGACGAGTGGCTCGCCCGACACCTTGGCCAGGAAAAGCTGAAATCTATGGCAGCCCTCACGACACTCATGACCCGCTTTTGCGCGGGAGAAGACAGCTAGCTGGTACGCAACAATAATATATCAAAGGACCATGGTACTTCGGATACCAAGGATGGCAATGGCAGGTCACGTCACAACAAACACAAGCGCCACATCAACAATGATAATATCGAGGATACGACAGTCAATGTTGGATTCAAAGGCTCTAAACCCGGTCAGCGGAAAAAACCATTCAAAATAAGCACTCCGGGCCTGTTCAGTTTGGACTGTATACTCGATCGCTCGTGTCAAATACACGACACCCCCGACAAGCCAGCCAACCATACCAACAGGGATTGTTGGGTGTTCAAGCAGGCCGGCAAGTTAAATGCCGAAAACAAAGATAAGGGGTCACATAGCGATGACGAGGAGGAGCCCCGGTAGCCGAACACCGGAGGACAGAAGAGGTTCCCCCCACAAGTGCGGACAGTGAACATGATATACGCAACCCACATCCCCAAGAGGGAGCGGAAGCGTGCGCTAAGGTATGTATATGTGTTGGAGCCAGTCGCCTCAAAGTTCAACCCATGGTCCTCCTGTCCGTTCACCTTCGATTGCAGGGACCATCCCACTAGTATCCGTCATGGCGGATTCGCCGCACTAGTCCTAGACCCAATTATTGACGGATTTCACCTCACTCGAGTCCTTATGGACGGCGGCAGTAGTCTGAACCTGCTTTATCAGGACACAGTGCACAAAATGGGTATAGACCCCTCAAGGATCAAACCCACAAAAACGACCTTTAAAGGCATCATAGCAGGTGTAGAGGCCCATTACACAGGCTCAATCACACTGGAAGTGGTCTTCGGATCCCTGGATAACTTCCGAAGCGAGGAGTTAATCTTCGATATAGTCCCGTTCCGCAGCGCTATCATGCACTGCTCGGGCAAACCACATTTGCGAGATTCAACGCGGTATCGCACTATGCATATCTCAAGCTCAAGATGCCAGGACCTCGGGGGGTCATCACAGTCAATGGAAATACAGAGCGCTCTCTCCGCACGGAGGAGCACACTGCAGCCCTCGCAGCTGAAGCACAAAGCAGCCTCTTAAGGCAAACCACCAGTTCGGCGATTAAAGATCCAGACACCTTCAAGCGCGCCCGGAGTAATCGGCAACAAGACCGCCTGGCACGTTCTGAGCTCGCATAGCAATGCGGCCCCCGCCTCAGTCCCAGCCAAACGGTGAAATCCGTGCCACACATACATAATTACGCATTGAAAATACCATGGGCACAGGTGGGGAGGGGGGCACGACTACGGCACGCCCCAAGACGCGGCTCAACCGCACTAGGGGCTTCCTGCTTTGTTATTTTTTTCT